CGGCCACCTCAACCCTTTTTCCACCTCCATCCCCTACACCCATCCACCATAGCCAACCACCCCAACCCTTCGTCCACCTCCATCACCTACACCCATCCACTATAGCCGACCACCCCAACCCTTCTTCCACCTCCATCGCCTACACCCATCCACCATAGCCAACCACCCTAACCCTTCTTCCACCTCCATCACCTACACCCATCCACCATAGCCGACCACCTCAACCCATCTCCTTCCTCCATCACCTACACCCGTCCACCATAGCCGGCCACCTCAACCCTTCTTCTACCTCCATCACCTATACCCATCCCCCATAGCCGACCACCTCAACCCTTCCTTGCTTATCACCTCCCTCACCCACTTGAGGGCCATAGGGGCCGCAAGGGGGCACGCGAAGTCTCGGGTAGGGCCGGTTAAGAAGGGTCAAGGGTCAAGGGCGATTAGGATGTGGGGCCTCTCGTGTCCTCTCTCTCTTTCTCTCTCTCTCTCTCTCTCTCTCTCTCGTCCCTCCTTTTCCCAAGACCTTTGAATCTTAAGCTCTCCCCTCTCCCCCTCCCCTCCATAGCACGTGACTAACCTCTACCCTCACCTGTTACATTGCCAGGGAACGAACGGCAAGGAACTTGGTCCTCACTTGGTGGAAAGCGAGGGCAAGGGGAGGGCTGCCGGTCCCTTGTGCCACCAAGAAGGGAAGGCACCACACTGTTGTAAGCCTCGGAAAAAGCGAAAAGGAGTGCTGTTTTTTTTGTGATAAGGTCAGTTTGACTCAACCATCCTCCCCGACTGCATGACTAAGATAAAGGCATGGTTTGCTTGAGGGAAGGGAAAGACAACCAAAGGATCATCGAAGGGCAAAGGAAGCTTAGGATTGTGGGAAGGGGCGGTGTGTTGACCCCAATGGGGATTGTATTTGGTCCATGCTTCATGTGGTGTTGTGCAGGTGAGTAGCTTGGGATGGGTGTTGAGCGGGACTGGATCCACCGGAAAACTGGATAAGGGAAGGACTTGGACCTCGCATAAAACTATGAATGCAGGATGGGGTTGACGGTCAGATGCTTGGATGGATGGTAGATGCCTGGATGTGGCTTGTGTAATGATTGAATGCAATGGCTCTCTTGAATGCAATGCAAGCCCGGAACGACTAAGGGCAATCTTGGATAGGTGAATGCAATGCTAGTGGCTCAAGCAAAAAAATAGCGGCTAGGGGTCCAGGCGATGCCACCCCACCCCAAGAAAGCCGTAGGTGCTGTCTTGAGCCATTAGACTTAGCGAAAAGGTACGTGGCCAAATGAACGACGCTTGGCCTACGCACGGTAAGAAGACGAATCCTCAACGAACTCCCTGGACTACCTGCGTTTTGGAAGGAGCAATTGCCTGGTCAAACCTAATCGAATCAAAAAAACGCCACGAGTGACCAAAGAGCTACCATCTTGACGCGAGAGTGGAGCTACATTCCCCAATGTAAAGCCCTCTCGCAAAAGGCCCATCCCCATCCATCCCAAAGCACTAGGTGGGGATGCCCCTGAGACGAACGACCCGCGCCTTGAGCATTAGCGTGGGCGGGTCGAGCCAAATGGGACCCGCAGTGGGGTCAACTCAGGCTCGAAAGTCCTTCAGGGTACGGCCCCTACAAAAATGGTGGAGGTGCTGGGTAACGGGTTAAACTGACCCTGACGATCTCGAGGGGGGCGCCCGACGCATGACCGTGTACATAACTGAAGATAAGGAATAAGGATTTGTGTATGCTCTATCCCTTGAGTGAATCAGATTTGAGGGTGGCTGGGCGCATGGCAAGGCCAGGCCTGGAGGAATAACATGCATGCTCGCACACTTGATCAGCCATCTCCCCTGGAGGTGACTCTAGTCCTCCTTCCTTCGGGCTGATGTTCGTCAGGCCAGGGAAGCCTTGGGCAAGCCGCAGGTCGACCCTTCCTCTTCGTGTGAAAGAAGGGCTCCGGTTACCTGGCAGGCGGTTGGGATTCCGGGCCAATCCGGGTTCCGATGAAAATTCGGCGGCGGAGTGATCCGACCGATCAGGGTGCCTTCTCTCCTCTTCGGAGCCCAGCGGGCTCCTTGCACCGCACTTAAATGTTTGAAGGAACCTCATATGAACACAATGGGTAATCGAGAAGGAACAATCCTGCCCTATGAACGAACACATAAGTGAAGATAAGGGAATGAAGGGAGTTGCTAGACTCAAAGGAAAACTAGCTCACCTTTGAAGATGCTCACGAAAAGGAATCGGACACTGTGTATGGAAGATAAGGGTGAGTGGCACACACAGTCCTGAGAGAAAACTGCGAGCTGTGGGTAGGAAGCGTTGGGTGCACCACGGGAAAGGCACTTGTTTTATGTGTGTCCCGCTTGGGACTTGTGATTGCATGTTGGGATTTCGAACGTCCTGCCATTTGGAACGAAAGGGAGCGTCTGCACCGGCCGGTGCGGGTTGCCAAATGTCGCTCCCTTTTGTAGACTGTCGTGGGTTCGTGTGTGGAGGTCAGGCCACTGAGTTGTCGGACGGGAGTTTGTCACGTCGGTTGATTAGTAGCATTCTCGGTCGAGCAGTGACGAGCTTTGGCTCGATGATCTGTCGGGCGGGGTGTGAAATCTCCTCAAGCGAGGCTTAGCCTGTTGGCAAGCGGAGGGAGTACCACTACATGCGGGCACAGACGGAGCCTCGGGGACGATTAGTAGTTTCTCGTAGCTTGGCTTGGGAAAGGCTGTTCCTTATCGGACCGATGGAAGTGAGTGTCTGGACGGCTGGCTCCAATGGCCCTACCGAGATGTGCAGGGTGATTCCCAAGATAACGGTGGGTGCACGAGCGGCAAGTCGGGATGGGGTATTCTGGGCAAGAAGGTGAGGGCGACCCCCCACTGGAGTCTGGGTACCGCGCTCGCGACGGTTGAGCTGTGCTTGAGGTATGGGATAAAACTTTGCCGATAAGTAACAGTGGAGAGACCATTTCCGGGGAGAAGGTCGGTGAGGAGATGACAGGCCTGTGTGCGACGTTTGCCTGAATCTTGCTTTTTGTGCCTCCCCCTGTAAAGTTGCCTGATGAATGTTGGATGGGGACTGAGCTTCTGAGTCTATTCTCACCTCCGAGTCTAAGTCCGCACAAGTGAGAGAACATGATGATAAAGGCTGGATAGGAGTCGGAAGGAAATGAAACCAAGAAAAAGGAATGTCGGCCGAGGATGATTGATCGAGGGTATGATAGGGCAGTGACGCTGGGAAAAAAAGGTAGGAAATGCTGAGGAGACCCAGGGGAGGGGTGGTGAAAATAATTCTCATCTAGGCAGGAGGCAATCTGACCATGAGGGGCCGTGTGGTGCTCTCATGTGGAAACAGGATAGGCGCCGGAAAAACAAGATGGCGCGATGGTTGTCGCCCCCTGTCTACTCTAGCGGTCCGGAAATGCCCATAGATGTAAGGGAAGGGGTATCTGTCGTCCTCCCGGAGGAAGGAACGTGGACGGACCTAGAGCCAGCTTATAAAACCGTGATGCTGGACGAGAAGGACGCGTTCATCTGGATAGAGACAACAATCTGGACTAAGGTCAGCCTGACAAGACTTTCACCCAGCCTGATGGACCTAGAATTTCGGGGGACGGTGGAAGCTCGAGGATGGGTCTACGTATCTCAGGAAATGGAAAATGCAATCGTAGTGCGACTAGTATTGGGCACGACACCAGATCAGTTGTTTACGCAAGCGGAACGGGAGTGTCAACGGGCGGAAATGGAGATGGAAAAGATGGAGGTGTGAGTGGAACTCGGAGACCGAAAAAATATGAGACGCCCCCTTAGGACGATGAGATGCGTGCTACCCCCGTTTCTGGTGGATGCAGTCTTTGGGACCAGGGATAGATTGGAACGGATATGCCGGTCGATGACGCGCCTGAGGCTGTACCAATGTGCTAGACAAGACTTCTTTGGACTGTCGGTGGAAGCGGGGCCGTTTGAAGGAAACTGGGCGGAAGAATTAGCTGAGGTATTAAACCTCCTCAACGCGGACGAAATCTTTGTTCCCAGTCCGCTGCATTGGCACAGAGTTTACCGGAATGTGGCGGCAGGGGAAACCTTCTTGGAGGGGGTGAAGGACTTGTTCTCAGACGAAGAAGGGGATTTCAGTGATGATGAGGAAGGAGATGAGATAGAGGACTGGGACTTCTGAACGGGGGAAGGGGCTTACCCGGGAATGGGCTGTCAACTATGTGCAGGTAGGAAGCGATGGCTCGGGAGCGCGGGCTGTGGGACAACACACCCAAGGGATGGGAACCGAGACAGGTTGGAAGGGGAATAGAAATGTCCATACCAACTGATCATGAATGGAGAGGGACCACGTGTGACTGGGTAGGGGCTGAAATTGTGCCCGAACTGTCATACCTATGGGTAGAACGCGTCTGGAACCCACTAAGGGAAGCGGAAGGATGGGAGGAGATTGCGGAAGGAAGGGTGGAATCGGTCGGGACGGTCGTTCTGTCGGAACAGGGTTAGCACCTGTTTTGTACAACGCTCACAGCAAGGCAGAACCCGATGTGGCTTCTAGGGGATGCGGAGGCAAGGGCTCGATGGGCAGGCGAGAGATTTGCAAACAAAGGTTGGGATGTGGTCAGTAGTAAAGTCGTGATGGGGGGATGGAAGGAATTTAGGGCCCCCTACCAACAAATTAAGACCTGGGTACCCGAGTTCGTAGCTGATTGGTTTGGGGGTTTTGACCATGCCGAGCAAGTAGCCAGCACTATGGGGCGGGTGCACATAAATTGCGCTTGGCTAACGAAAGAGTTCTATAAAACATCTCTGAAATATGGGCCATTCCATGGTGATAGAGCCTGGGAGGTCCTCATCATTTTGGACATCGAAAGGAGTGACCGGATGGAAGTGGCCCCAGAAACCAGGGAGGCTATAATTCGCCGCGAAGTAGCCGCCACGCCCTGCTATATAGATGATGTGTTTAAGCTATTTGAGGTATTGTGGTTTGACTAAGAGCAGAAAAGGTTGTGGGGCCAGGCAAGTATGGGAGAATTGCTAAGACAAGGGAATGGAATGTCTGGCCATTGTAGGGTTCGGTGCGAATTGTGGGCTAGGAACCAAGGACGAGCACGCGATGGCACGAAGGAGGACGTTTCTTGAAGATCGCCCCCTAGGAATTGAGCCACCTAGGGAAGTAGAGGGTGGGGTAGAGGTTAGCCTGCCGGCCGTGAGCGAGGGTTGGCACCCGGTGGTGGACTGGGTCGGGGTTGAACTCATGGAAAATATGGTTTACTTGGTAACGAGGGTCGAATGGCGTGTTGATGAGCATGGGGAGTGGAACCCGGACCCGCAGGGGCATGTGCGTGCAGACGGGCGATTGTATGTGTCCGAGGATGGGTGGCGCGAGTTCGGGGTCCTGTTGGCATCAGGGGAAGATCCATTGAGTATGTTCGAGGGGGCATGGCAGTTAGTATGGGAGGCGGGATTTGAGTTCGCAGATCCGGGATTTGATGATGTAACGACAGACCTCAGGGTAGCTCGGGCCGGAAGTTTTGAGTTGCCTAGCGAAAACATTCGGATGAGGTTGCCGCCCTTTCTGCTGGAAAGGCTAGGCGGGCTGGAGCTTGTCAGACGGGCGGTTGCAGACCTCGCTAGTTTGACATACGAAAACACGATGGTACACCGAGAATACTATCGGGCCTTCCTAGAAATGGGGCCGTTTAGCGGAGAACAGAAGTATGAGGTGCTGCGAATCTTGCACGCCGTGTTTACCACTAGACCAAGGGCTCCGGTTGTAGGCAGTGAGGTTCTGTGGGGCGTCGTCCAACAGGAAATAAGTCGGGGGATGACATACGTAGACGACCTACGTCGATTGTATGAGCCGACGGAGGTAGGAACAGGCCGATAGAAGAGCCGAGGAAGGGGAAGGGAATAGAGAGGAAAGGAAGCATCAAGCTAAGGACCAGGGAGTCGCTCAGGTAAGGGCCGAAGAATAAATGAAATAAGCAGAACTCGCTTGCTGTTTAAACTGTGCAGGGGACCGCTAAATCGAAATGGTGATGAGACGCGCCCGGATGCCGCGACGGCCCACGCACCCCCGAACCCCCACGGAAAGTGGAGACGGATGGGAGGTATCGCTCCCAGCAAGCTACAGGGTCCAAGGGATCGATACCGAATGGAGAGCCGTAACCTTGGGAAGGGACCAGGCGTTCATGTTGGTGGAATGCTTGTGGGATGGTACCCGGGGACGATCTATACACGGATCTTAGGGTGACGGGAACCGTATACCTACCGGAGCTTGGATGGCACATGTTAGGAACGGAGTTGGCACTTGGGCATGGGCTGTTACCAATCTTCCAGAGGGCTACTAGGATATTGAACCGAATAGGCCAGGAAGTGCGGGAAAGAAGGAACGTGGGATTGAGAACCCGGGTGGAGGTAGGAGGTTCGCGAGAGTTTAAGGCCCCTATGACAGGGCTGAGATGCCGAGTGCCTCGCTTCATGGTAGACCTGGTATTCGACAGTCTCCCAAGGGCAAAGGATCTCGTGGACTCGATTCTGGTTTGGATCCACCACTTCCGGCCGCAGACAACGGGCATGTTCTATGATGTGTCGGTTAGACATAGGCCGTTTTGGGGGAATCAGGCCTGGGAATTGCTTGAACTCATCGAGATCTTGATATTCGGATTGCCCCGCTTGTCATTTGAGGAATACGAGCCAATAATCGTCTCGGAAATAGAGATGGGAGAAAATTACCTTGCTGGAGTGGCTGACTTGTTCGAGGAACCAGACGAACAGGGCAGGCCTGAGGGATTAGCGTAAGGAAAGGCGCCAGGGGAAAATGGGAAAAATTAAAGGATGGGTATTCAGATGAGAAGGTAGCCATCAGCAAAAGGGGGGGCACTGGTTGGAGTTCCGCCCTACCTCACGATGCGGCAGGAACTAGGAAGACCACCCGCACCAGGAACGCCAGGGCATTTGGTTGTCAGACAGCCGAAAGGGCTATCCTCAAGGGGAAGGCCACTGGGCTCCGACACCGTCCTAAGAGCCGAGGCAGGGCGACGACAAAATGCCAAACCTCGGCAGCAAGTCCCCCGGCGGAGGAAAATTTGAATGGTGCCCCGAGAAAGAAAAGTCAGGAGTGTCGTCCCGACTTATGAAACACGGAAAAGGCATGGAAACAACCGGGTTTTAGGGCTGGAGCTAGGGAAGCCATGAACAACCGGCCGTTTTTTGCAAAAAAAATTTCCATGTGCAGGTTAGGTAAAGAAATGGCGTCGCAAGAACAGGACGACAACCAGCAGAGCAGACGGAGTCAGGGTACGAATAGGGACGAGGAACAGAACCAGGGGTCAGATCAGGAATCAGCAAAGCCGGAAGGGACCAAAGAAGAAGGGAAGGGCCTCTCCACAGGGGAAAGTTCAGGAAAAGTTGGGGGTAGCAAAAGAGGACCGCAGGAGAATAGGGAAGGGAGGGACGACGAAAGGGTGAGTCCTCCGAACTCCGGAGGAACCGCGCCCAAGAAAACGAAAGTCTCGGATGCACGCCGCAAATTGGCAGAAATAGAAAGGCGGACCGCAGAATACAAGGCGAGACTTATTGAACAAATGATGGCTGGGAATGAAGAGGATCCCCAGGGGGAAGGGTCACGAGAGGGACGCAAGACCAGTCAGGGCGAAGCCAGGTACGGAGCAAAAGATAACAGCCATAAGGGAACAACCAGCAAGAAGGGGAAGGAAAAGGGGGACTCCCTGACTATAGAGGCAGAAAAGGCCACGACCCCGCCGGCTATCGACAACGGCACTAGTCGTCTGCCCACCACGCCCAAAGCAACAAAGGGATGCGATGGACTCTGGAGTCTCAGAGAGAGGGTGTTAGGCTAGTTTGATCCAGAGGGAAAACCGAAAACGGGGGAAAAGCACAAGGAAGGCACGGAAGGAGAGGGGAATAGTGTGGTCGGTGAGGCGGGTAGCTCTGAAGGAGGACTTAAAAGGATAGTAGCCACCCTCACCCGGGCGCTGAATAAGAATCAGGGGTATCTCGCAGACGCAAAGAAGAAACTCACTTTCGATGGGGCAAACATCACGAGATTTCTGATAGATTACGAGAACCTGGCAGCCTTACTGAAGTGGACTGAGGAACAGAAGATGGACCACCTAGGGCAACACGTGTCGTTGAGCTTAGGAAGGGACATTATGACTATCGTCTCCTCTAGTGGATCCTGGAAGAAAACCCGGAATGAGATGATGAGAATGTACCTGAAGGCGGAGAAAATGGCGACAGAGGCTGAATTGGCGGCGGTCCAAAGGAAAAACTATGCTACTTACAATGACTTTCTGAGGGCGTTCACTCTAGTGGCACTGCGAATCCCTGGGGTAACAGATCGAATAATGAGCAAGTACTTCCTTAGGCAGTTTTCCGAGTTTGACAAAGATAAGATTCTGTCAGCTTACCAGCAGACTAGCAAGTTCCGAGTACACTAGGGATGTGGACTTCAACACGGTAACAGACCTTGCAGAAAAGACAGTGGTGACCGACACGCTAGCCCTGCTCAAGGAAGGGGAGGTTATAGACTTGACCGGGAAGACAGGGGATAAGGTCAAGAAGGGAATACAGAGCCTACATGAAAGGGTGCACGGGGTCGACAGCAAGATGGACAGAATGGAAAATGCGCTATTCGTAATGCAGGCATAGGTGTCCCGACCCGCCCTCCCGCCCCAAGAGGCCGTAGTTCCGGCAACCATAGCTAATCGGGGATTTGGCAGGAGGGATCCGGCCAACGAACGATGCAGGTACTGCACAATGATTGGACACTTCGTGAGGGCTTGCCCAAGGCTCAATCACGATATTAAGCGGCAGAGGTGCAACAGGTCCCTCAAAGGCGAGATTCTCGGACCTCAGGGGGAGCGTGTAAATTGGAACTCGCCTGGAGGAATGCGGCGAGCCGTCATCCTCCTGAATAACTTAGAGATAGATGTCGTAGAAGCAGAACCGGTAGCCGAGATTGTCTGGGACCAACCAAGGGGACGCGGAGCACAGGCCAATTTTATCCTAGAAGGCAATGGGCAGGATAGGGTAAATATCACCACTCGACGGGTCGGCGCAGAAAAGAAGCTTATTCAAGATACAGTAATGGAAAAACTCGCAGGAACTAGCGCAGACCAGCAAGAGACCGAAGCCGGGGAACAAGAGAAGGTCTATGGGAAAGTAAGGGAGGAGGAACCGGTAGACAAAGCTACGGTGACAAAAAAGAAGTTCAAGTATCAAATTCCAATCCTAATTTCGCCTGAAATCGATGGCACCCTGAGTAAGCTGTTGGGTACCATGGTATCAGTGTCCTTTCAGACCATGCTGCAAGCCAGCCCAAGGCTGCTTAAAGGGCTCAGGCAGTTGCTAACGCGTAAGCGAGAGGAGGCCCCAGAACCACAGGAGCAGGGGACGGAAGAGGCAAAGGCACCCCAAGGTGTCTCCAATCTCCAAAGAATTCTCGGGGATCTGGAGGACCTGGAAAAGGCCTCTGCAGACATCCGCCTAAGCTTACCGGACCGAGAAGGGGGCGAAGTCATGAGGGCGCCACCCGGGACGAAGCTTAGCTTCCACGCATTGCCCGTAGGAAAGCTGAAAGTCCAAATCGGAACTCACCACACGGACGCGTTAGTGGACGACGGTGCAGAAATCACCCTCATACGACGAGATTTCGCAACAGTCACAGGGTGCACGGTAAACAAGGAAGTAGCAGGGAGTATCCGGGGAGCCGGTGGCGAAATTCCTTTCACAGGGTATGTCACCAAATGTGCGGTCAAGGCGGGAATCCGAGAATCTATCTGGTCCTTTCAGCGGATGACCGTGATGGAAGAAATGGATCATGATATAATCCTCGGGAGACATCGGTGCGCCAATGTAGAAATGATAGGAATTCATCTGCATGACGGCACATACATGGTAGACATAGAATACCCAGTGACCGGCCGCAGAGAACTCCTCCGACTTCTTGGGATCGGAGGGGACCCTCCAAAGGGCAAGTTGGCAACCTGGTCGCCAACATTCGAAGAGAGTGCGCGGAAGGGGGCATTCGCACGAATGGAAGGTATGAGGGAGAGAGTGGAAATCATGATTGAGGAGGCCTTCAACAAAAAAAAGTGGATCAAAATGGGCCTACCTCTGAAGAAAAGGAGGCAAGAGGACGAGGTCCTAGGGGTTATGGTCGCAGAAAAAGAGTCGGAAGTTGAACTTGGGGCCAGTCTGCCTAAGGCGAAGGAAGGCCAAAAGGAAATGTCAGAAGTAGTCCTTGAAATCCCAGACTTGCTATAGCTTATCAAAGCTATTAGATATCATAAAGTTGGGGTAGACCCGACAACACTTGCCAAGTTTGAGGATGAGGTCCGAAAAGGCTATTGCCTGAATGGAAAGATAGTTAGCATCCAGCCCCGCATCATGGAGGTAGCGAGGCCAATCCCGACCATCCATTTTTTAGGAGAACGATCCCAGAAGGCAGTGTCCGAAAATACAAACCCGTAGGAAAGAAGGCTAAGCCGGTCTCGATCCTAGTGGAGACATCAAAGGAAGAGGCCTTGGAAAGGAGGAGGAGGTCATGCGGGTAATAAGGGAGAGGCGAGCAGCGGAAGGGCATCAGATAGCTGATGAAGTAGCAGAAACCATGAAAATAGGGGCGGAAGGGTTCTTAACAACAGAGGAAACTCTGTTGATAAGGAGGACGTGCCAAAAGTTTCATTTAGCCTTTGTCTTCAATAATCACCAGAAAGGACGGTTAGATGCAAAATTAATCCCCCCTGTTAGGATCCACACGGAAGAGCATGAGTGTTGGAATGATAAAGGGTTTGCCTATGAGTTCGGGATAGCGGCAGAGGTCACCGACCTGCTTAGAGCCAAGATAGATTCATTCGTGGCTGAACCCACCGCATCCCCCTACGCGAACAAGTGGTTCGTTTCCGGAAGCCCAACAAGACGCTCAGATGGATCCAGGACTTGCAGAAGCTTAATGCGGTAACAATTAGGGACGCAGGTTCGCTCCCACAGGCGGACTTGCTAGCCAAATCACATGCTGGATGAAGTATTTACTCCCTGATAGACCTATACTCAGGATATGACCAGTTGCCGCTCGACGCAAGGGATAGACCGTATACCGCCATGCACACACCAGTAGGGCAGTTGCAGATGCAAGTGACTCCTATGAGTTTCACGAATGCGGTGGCAGAGGCGCAGAGGAGAATGCTGGTTGTGGCAGGAGAAATGTTTCCAGAGAAATGCGAGCCATATATAGACGATAACCCCATAAAGGGCGCGCAAAACAAGAATGAGACAGAGGTTGAGCCGGGCGTGCGAAAGTTTGTCTAGGATCACCTGCAGGACATCAAGGATCTCTTACATCGGTTCCTGGTTTATAATATTACAGCAAGTGGACCAAAGAGCATCCTGGCTGTTCCGGAGGTAACCATATTGGGGTTTCGTTGTGGGGCTTATGGGAGAAGACCCGACCCAGCAAAAACAGATAAGATCTCCCAGTGGCCGACACCCCTGCGCACCACGACGGAAGTACGAGCCTTCTTAGGGGTGGTCGGGTTCTGGAGGATCTTCATCAAAGGATTCGCAAAGATAGCGGAGGCTATCCGCGCGATGATTAGAGAAGGTGGCACTATGGAATGGACCGAGGATAGAGAAGCGGCAGCCCAAACCCTTAAAGACATCCTGTCTTCCAATCAGGTCACCCTAGCAGCACCCAATTTCAACGATGAGGTAGGACGGCCCTTCATCTTAGAAACAGATGGGGGACCGCTGGCAGTTGGAGCAGTACTGATATAGAAAACCAATGAGGGTAAGGAAATACCAATCAGATTTGAAAGTAGAACCTTGAACTCGGCAGAACGACGGTACTCACAGTTCAAGAAAGAGGTCTTAGCGATCCTGCATTGCCTTAAGACCTTTCAGGGGTACCTGTTCGGGAGGCGATTTATCCTGAGGATCGACCCAACCAACGTCGTCGGGGCACTAAAGAACTATAAGCCTATAGACCCAACCGTCGGGAGATGGATAGGCTTCATATGACAGTTCGACTACAAGGTGGAGCGGATTGCGGGGCTTCGAAACAGGGCGGATGGGCTGAGTAGGGTATGTATCACGCCGGAAGGGATAGAGGACGCAGAGCCGATTGACGCCTTCCTGGAATACGAAGGAGGGACCCTTGCTGTGGATAACGAGATGGCAGACTCCATAGCCACGACGGGTCAGTTGCTGATCCAGACCTTGGAAAAGGGCGCGCCTCCGGTAGTTGCGGAACTCAGGGAAGGACCGGTTACTACGTTTAGGCGCAAAGACGAGAGGGATTCGTGGGGTGCAGTGATTGGGCCTAAAGAGGAACTGATGGCAATGGTCGTGGAAGGGGGACGGAACGCCGTGATGACCTTAGCAGAATCTTGGACGCAAAAGGAACTGCAATACCTGGTGAATCAGGCTCAGGAGGAGCAGGGTACCGACCAGAGGGAACGGGAATTTTTTCTCATACAGATGTATGAAGGCATCTTCAGGGAAGTCGGCTTGTTGCTCATAGGAAACAAGCAACCATTAGAAGTCAGCCCCAAGGCAAGGGAGGAAGCCGAAAAGTATGTTTTAATGAACGGTCACCTCTTCAAGAAGGAAGAGGGGATGATGCCTATACGAGTCGTGTGCGGAAGGTCTGGGCAATTAGACATAATCCAGGCAATGCACGATGGACTAGCGGGAGGCCATAGGTCATCCAAAGGGACCCTTGCGAAAATAACACCACTCTACTTCTGGCCAGGTATGGCAGGTATGGTGGCAACATACTGCCAGGCATGCCTGATATGCCAGGAAAGGAGTTCCGCACGTGTCTTTGAGCCCCTTAGACCCACCCGGGTACTAGGGCCGGAGCACTTAATCCACCTCGACCTTGAGGTCATGCCGGTGTCAACGGATGGATACAGGTACATCCTGGATGCAAGGGATAACCTCAGTGGCTACATAGAGGCGGTAGCACTCAAGAGAAAGACAGGGAAGGGAGTGGCCGATTGGATAGAGGATTTCAACCTAAGAGACACCTTTATGCGCAGGTTCATAGCAGATAATGGGACGGAGTTCGTCAATCAGGAGGTATTGAGCAGGCTTAACACCTTGTGCGTACCCATCAAGATCATTGAGCCATATCACCCTGAGGCAAATGCACCGGTAGAAAAGGGGCATCGGACTTTGAAGAACACAATCACCAAGCTAGCAGTGGATGATCTGGGAAATTGGTCGCGGTACCTTAAGCAGGCAGTCTTCTCTGAGAACATGACACCAAAGAGAATGACGGGGTGCATTCCAGCGGAGCTATGGTATGGAAGGGAGATTGACTTCCCAATAGAAGCCCTCGTCCCTACCTGGAACAGGCTAGATGATGATCCGCACTTGACCACGGAGGAGTTAATTGTCGCACGTTGCCAACAGGTCGCCAGGACTGAGGAAGCATTGGAAGAAGTGGTTAATCGTGTGATGGATAGTCGGATGAGGGACAAGGCAAGATGGGACCAGGTGAAGAATATCCGGAAGGAGCCGCTCCAAGTAGGGGAAAAGGTGCTAGTTAGGAACTCCGCTCTTGAAAGCACGTGGTCTGGGCAATTGGGAAAGAGGTTCAAAGGGCCCTACAGGATCGCTAAGCGGGTGGAACTGAACACGTTCGAACTTGAGGATCTTGATGGCGCTAGCATAAGAAGGTCGTTCCCGGGACAAAGGTTGGCCAGATTTCTAAGCAGGGATCCTGTGGAACAATGGCTACAAGAGGCTCAGGACGGGGAAACAGGGGAATTGACAGCTTGAAAGGCAGGCAACTGGCTATAGGCCTGGACCGTCTCCCTGCGGAAGTAATCATGACCACAGGGATTGCTCGTTTGTGTGTCTTGACTTTTGTGGAACGTGGGGAGACTGCCTAGGCTGACTATGAATGGGGTTGGGAGCATGGGACAATGCATTATAGTTTTTGTGAGCAACTCTGGGGACGGTCTACACGAGGTATCCATTTGTCGAGACAATGTACCATAGTTTTGTGGGGTGATGCTGTAGACCGCCTACATGAGGTACCTATGCGTGGGTCAATGTGCCAAGGGATATAAGGGGTAATGGGATCGCCAACTGCGCGAGGCTAAGCAAGGGCTCTGGGAACGCCTGCAAATCTGCAAATGGGATGGGAGGGGTTGTGTGCGTTTGAGGGGGTGCGATGACTGTTCTGCATGGACAGGACCGGGCAAGAAGAAAGCAACAAGAGAAGGCAAAAATGGAGTTTGGGAACGAAAATGACAGCAACGCAATCAACAGGCCCAATGAGCAGCAGCCAACAAGACGGGTTGGAGAATCAAGCTCCAGAAAGAGGAAATTGTATGTAGGATTTGACCACAATCTGGCTGTGAACAGAGGAGGCAGAAAGCAAGGAACCAGGGGACCATCACCACCCAGGGAAGGAGAGCCAATTGTGCTACCATCAGACAGTGACCCTAGCAACGAGGAAGAGGGGAGCCTAAGGAAAAGACAGAGGTTGGAGGAGGAGAAGGAGTCCATCGAGATCATAGACCTCAGCAGTGAGGAAGAGGAGGATGAAGTGACCACGCCCACAAGGGAAGTACAGGGAAGAGACGAGGACCCGGGTGAAGAGAAGGATAAATTGATAAGGGAATTTGGGCCGACTTTCAGCGATTGGTTTGATCAGTGGGCCAGTATCTTGCGATACCAATGGGCAATGAAAGGGAAAGAAAAGTTGAGCAGGGGAGAGGACATATCCCCAACAACCTTCTTCTCAGAGGGGACGCTCCTTCAATTGCAGGGAATAAAGAGACAAATGTAGCAAGAGATCGAGGATCGTACAAGGGAGGCTCCGCGTAGGGCGGCTGGACAGTAAAGGGGTAGTAGGCATAATGGGGGTTAGCTAGAAATTGGGGGAGGGGCGATACCTGGGCAGGAGGAATTGCCATTTTGAATTTTGCATTTGAACTTTTTTTCAATGGACTACGATAGGACAACTTTCTGAACTTGAGATGGCCAAGGACTGGGTAACGAGTACTACTTTGCACAAGTTGTGGCTTCTTCAGAAAAAGGCACGAGGGTCATTGCACTTAGAGAATAGGACTGTGAATGGCTGGGGTTGTCAAGGGGAAAATAGAGGGATCTAGAGGAGGCGAGTCTGTAATGTTGCCTTTGCATTCGAACTTCGTCTCCTCGTTTTTTGGAAGGACTGAGACGTAACGCCTTTTTGGATTGGGGATGCTACTAGGGGATGGGTGACCAGTGCTACTTTGTACAAGTACTCGCCCCTTTGGAAAAATCTGAGCCTTTTTTTTTGGTAGTAAGAAAGGGAATGGGGATCATCGACCCTATCTTGAGAGACAAACAAGGATGTGTGAACTTTTGAAGATTGGAAGAAAAGTCGATGGCAAAAGAGTTTCCTTTTGAGAATTGTGTATCTATGGTTGAATGAGTCATGACATGAGTCTCTGTAAGAGGTTAGGGGACCTATGGGTAAAAGAGGCGTGAAGAACACTCTTCCCTAGGAGCCTAATCCAACAAGTCCCACATCAGTCCATAACAGCAAGACACAGGAGATCCAGAGAAAGAGAAAACAACAAGGACACACACCCTTTGCAATGGCTGAACGGCCAGGCGAGCTAGTGCTGCTTGAGGTTACGAGCCTCAACTCGAGCACTAGACGCTAAGTCGGATGTATGGATGAATATAAGAATGACAAACGACACGAGAAAAAAGAAGAACCATGCGTAAAAACCCAAGAAGATGGCCGCCTTCTAACCCCCGAGACGAGATAGGATCCGTGTCCTCGAGGCCCATCCCCTCGGACGCTAACATTGCAATGGACAAGGATGGCCCTAACCAGGCTGTCCAATTGAAACGGACAAGGATGACCCTAACCAGGCTGTCCAATTGGAATGGATAAGGATGGTCCTAACCAGGCTGTCCGATTGTATGGATAAGACTGGCCCTAACCAGGCTGTTCGACTTGGAATTGGAAAGAACGACCCTAACCAGGTTGTTCGGAATGGCCCCTGACAAGGGTCATTCTTTGGAATTGGCACTGGGGTCCCCTTGCATGGCTGCTTGAGATGCATGATATTGGAAGGGTCGAGCCTTGAAAAAGATATGGAAAGAGCCGAGTTTTGGATATTGGAAGAGCTGAGCTTTGGAAAAGATATGGGAAGAGTTGAACCTTCGAAAAAAGACATTGGAAAAGCTAAGTTTGGAAAAGATATTGGACTCAGCCTTGGAAAGGATATTGGACTCAGCCTTGGAAGAGATATTGCATTGAGCATTGGATTGGGGATTGAGCATGGGAATGAGACTGAGCATTGGAATTGGATTGAGTATTGAAAATTGCATTGCATAAACAGGGGACCCTAGACCACTCGAAATGGACTTGGAAAGAGCATTGAAATGGAATTTCTATTTTCTTCTAGTCTTTGGCCTCAGCAAGAGGGGGATACCGGTGCATGCACCACGACCCCAAGACCTCTATCCCTTTAAGGGAAAAAGTCTCAACGCGACCTGTTCCTCTTCGAGAGGATGAGGGTTAAAGGACTAAGGCACCTACCACTAGGATCGGTGCGGGACGTCCGGAACCACCTCCGACAATGAGCTCTAGTCGGGGAGTTCAAATTGCGCCTCCTGTTGAACGCCTAAACGTCAAAGGGCGAGAGAGCCAAATGGGCGAGAGAGTCATTCTCATCTAGTCTATTTTGCCGTTCTCCAACCACACGCCATGTTGCCATGGCCGTTTGGGTCCGACCACGACTGCCCACGCTAAGTTGGGTGGCACTGTCCAAGGGGAGAGGCCGGGCGAAGGTACCGGGTGGAGTCCGTCACCACCACGGGGCATTGACACTGCCCTGCCGGAACATTACAATCGTTCCGGGACTAATTGCGAGGTCTTCGTAACTGCACTCGCGGACTAATTGAGAGCCCCAATTCTCTTGAAAGGAAGAGGCCAGATCCAAAAAATTACCACTCAGGAGGAACGATTCGCGTGGAACGCTCTTACGGCTAGACGAGGCCCTGGAAGGCTCGAATTGGACCTGCCTGCTGGAAGTGAGGAGGAACCTCAGTATTGGTGCTCGCCACGTAAGAGAAGAAAGGTCGGACCGTGTAGAAGGATGAGGCGTCGTCCGCTGGGGAAGAATTGATCACTCTTCTTTTTGTGAAGCAGGTGGGCTTGTGTCCTTGACTTGCGGTTGGTGGGCCAAAGCTCTGCGTACCTCCGAGTGAGAACCAGTCCCGCGATGGGGACATCGCGTTTTAAGTGGGGGGAAGGTGTGCCATCCACCAACGAAAACGCATGCAAAAGAATCGTGTAATTGGTTTTGCGTAGGCCTAAGAAAAGGGGGCCTGACAAGATGCCCGAAACAGAAAAGACTTGTGTAAGCGGCTTTGCATGGGCCTGAGAAAAGGGGCCTGGCAGGACGCCCATAAAAGAAAAAGACCTGTAATTGGGTTTGCATGGGCGTGAGAAAAGAGGGTCTGGCAAAATGCCCAGAACAGAAAGGACTTGATGAAGTGACATGGTATGAACCTGAGAGAAAGGGCCTGGCAAGACAGCCAGGAAGGAAAGGGCTGGTGAGATTGATTCTGCATGGACCTGAAAAAGGAACTGGCAGATTGGGAAATGGTTGTGGGATTGGCTTGTATAAGCTTGAAAAGAAGGGCCTGGCTAAGGAATGAATTGAGCATTGCGTATGGAAAAGATAATCGAGCAAAGGGCAAGTGGGGACAAAAGGGTGATATGCATGCGGAATTGGCAGGACCAGGGAAAAGCCGGGAAGAATGACCCGGGAAAAATGCATGTGGATTTGGCTATGATGGAGCTTCGGGGAGAGGAAAAATTGTGCTGAAAAGGTGTGGATGTCCTAAGAGTAATGAACGAGACGAAACCAGGATGGTGTCTGCTCGAGAATGTTTTCTCAATGAAATGGGAAGATAGATTTGAGATTACGAAGCACTTAGGGGAAGTTGTGCCTGTGTTCATCGATTCGAAGTGGGTATCACCACAGCAAAGGCGGCGGTTGTACTGGACGAACATCCCCCGTCCGGAGCAAACGCCTGGCATTGAGTCACATCCGAAAACTTGCCTACAATTTGTTATCAACAGTGCCAAGGCATATAATGAGCAAACCAATTGTGTTGTGACAACAAATTGTCATCCTGGGAATAAAGCCATCATACCAGTAGTTAAGTACATGAAGCAAGGAGAGTCTCGTCTGCTTCATGTTACTGAAGTCGAAAGAATTATGGGCTACCCTGCTGGGTATACAGAGTTGACTGAAGAGGAAGGTCGTGTCTCGATTGAGGGAAAGATAAAAGAGGCAGAGCTATGATGGAAATGAGCCACCTGGTCTAAGCCGTGGGAGAAAAAGAGAAGCCGAAGAAGAACCTTGACTTCCCCATACCCTCCTCCGCCCCAAGGGGCGGAAATTTAAAGAAGAACCCGAGAAAAGAATGGGAAAGGACAAAAAGAACCCTGGCAAGCTAACTACCCGTCTCACCCCACCTCCCTTTCCCGTCTGTCTATCACTCCGAAATCCCTGCTGACTATGGATTGGTGCGCGATGAGGACATCGCAAATGAGTGGGGGGAATATGTTGGGACTGGTGAGTCCCGAATGACTTCCCATCACTCGAGAGACTGTATACGGCCGATTTCTGCACGGCAGAGAAAACCGGAGGCAAGAAGGGCGGAGGGATCAAGGCGTGAGCACAGACATTAGGGAGCTAGAGGCTGCCCAAAGTCGACGAGACCCCTGAACTTGGAAGAAATTGTCAGTGCAGGAAGCAACAAAAGGACCGAAAGAAAATAGTGAAGGGGATCCTTCCCCCGAAACGGAGA